TAAACCAACAATCAACATTTAATTTGTATGACTTTTTCATATTAATAAATAATAATATGTATATATTTGTCGCTACAAGAAATAAAACAAACATTTGTATGATTGTATTTAGCTTTTAGTCTATTTCACGCAGCCTTCTTCTATCTTCGTGAAATAATTCACACCCTCCTGTCACGTCCCTGTTACTTTGTCACGCGATATTTGTACGGAATGTTTTGAAAGACTCGTGAGCAAAATTTTACATGGTGATAAAATGGCGTATTTCTTATATTTTGTTTAGATTTTTAGTTTCCTCCTGTTATAAAGGGTTAAATTTATTATTAGTGGAATGGAAATGGCTTGGATGGAAGAGCAACAAGGCTGAATTGTTAACAAGCGACATGGGATGACAAAATGGCGCCGAATTTGGACAAAGTTGTGGATTTACCTTGTCGATGGTTAAACAGGTATGATCTACTTGAAACCAAGTTGAAACTTGTTTAAAATGTTCTTGATACCATTATGTCTGAGATGATTTACATTTTTTGTAGGATGTCGACGAGATCGCCGATAAACAGCGGAGTAAAGTGGAGAACTCGGCCAAATACGTCCATTTGCAGGAGGTAGGCACATTTCAAATTATTATTTCGGTCAGAAAATATTAACTATTTTACACCAAACCAGTGATAATATATTTAAATGAGTACCAATTATGTTTCTATCAAGAAGATTTAGGGAAAAAGGTAATGTAAGTCCACTGCTGTTTATCTGAAGTTGCAAGCCAGAAATTGACGTTTAACTATGATTATTGCATGGCCATTTTCTTGTGAAATATTAGTGCTAGGCATTTCACACTGACCAATGAGCACCCCCAAAAGTACCATCTCTGAACCATATAAGCACCTCAGAATAGCCAAAGCTTTTATGGTTTGGTAGATGGCAGCATGGCGAATGCGTCGTTTTTGGGTGTGGTCAGTTTCGGACGTTTCGCCCCGGATTGGGGTTCGGGCAGCGTTACCATGTTGACCGTCATGGTCAACTTACCCGAAAACAGTTGAGATTATCTGTCCTAAATGAAATGCATACAAACTCATATACAGGTCCTAGACCATTAATATTCATACAATGAGGGTGAGGTAATTAATATTCCTACAATGAGGGCGATTGAGGGTGAGGTAATTAACATTCATAGAACGAGGGTGAGTGAGGGTGAGGTAAATAACATTCATACAACGAGGGTGAGTGAGGGTGAGGTAATTAATATTCATACAATGAGGGTGAGGTAATTAATATTCATAAAATGAGGGTGAGGTAATTAATAGTCATACAATGAGGGTGAGGTAATTAATAGTCATACAATGAGGGTGAGGTAATTAATATTCATAAAATGAGGGTGAGTGAAGGTGTGTAAGATTGCTGAGGGTGCGCTAACTAATTAACATAATATATAAGTAATATATGCAATGACGTCACGCGGTCATGTTGGGGCGAAATCGGTCAAAACTTGCTGACTAGGCATTTTTTAGCGTCCCTCCACGTGTGTGATACAATAGAGGGATTAAGATTGGCTTGTTGTGCGTTGCTGCTAGGTACAGAAACATCTTGAGATATGTCCGTATTTTTTGATAAATTTTACGGGAATATAATTAGTTGACACAGAATGGGATTTACTATTAATAGCGAATGCGATGAATTACCATTTCAAATAATATAGCACACTGCTTATGTTACTTTAAACGAAATAAAAAACGAGGGTTTTACAAGCGTATTTTCAAAATATATAGTTTCATTGATAGAAAAATAAATATTGTGATGGCAGCTTTGCCAAGCAATCTCCATGTGTAAAACACAAAGGTTGAAGTAATTAAGGGGATTAAGCCAATACGAATTTGCATAACCAATAGGATCCTAATGGATATAAATGGATATTATTACGGAAGGTTGTGGACATGTTCAGTGTTATTCAGCAAACCTCCTACATACTACATCCTACATACTGTTAAGATGACTGATTCAAGAGTCAGATCAAAAGAACGCTTATCAAGAACTCATGGAGAAAAAACTTTTCGAACAGTTCTGATACATTTTGCCATAAAAATGTTTTTTTATCAAATATGTGGTCGTTATATATGTAATAAAGTGAACTATACTCGAATAATTGAACTCAACTCGTTTTTAAATCAAAAATAAACTTTTAAAAATTGTATATCACTTCTTAACTCGCTCTACTCAGAACTTCCACTCAAGACATTAATATTCCATGTGCTCGCAGAATTGCGTGACACACGCGTGGTGTCCACGTAATAATTACGTCATTAATTATAACATACTCCCCACCTTGACTGGTGAGAACCATTCAACGATATAAATAAGTAATTAAATCTAATCAGTTTTCCTTAAGTCCATGCTTAACAAACGTAATTGGAAAGTTTTCAGGATGCTCCTGTTCCAATTTAAGTTCTAAAGGATACAACTTTTGAATAGGCCGATCCAATGTAGTCACCTTTCCGTCTTTACCGATAGTACGCCCCACGACTGCTCGAGTATTTCCATCGCGACCCGTTAACAACTTTTCGATCTGTCCAATATTCCAGTTAAACGTTTCACGTTATCTTCTGCAATGACAACAACATCACCTTTGTTAACACTTGGACCCTTCGCTTCGCGAGGACGATGATATTCACGCAATTGAGTTAAGTATTCTTGTTTCCACCTTTTCCAGAAGTGCGTTAAAACAGTTTTTAAATGTCTTTCGCGTCGTGTTGCTCTTTCTGCGGTGTCAACTTCGTCTGATATACCTGAACTTACGCTCTTCGCTGGAGTAAGTACTCTCCTTCCTAGTACAAAGTGCGAAGGGGTTAACGGTTCATCGTTGTCGTCATACAAGTAAGTGAGAGGACGAAAATTCAACACGCCTTCTATTTGAATCAACAACGTGAGCAATTCTTCGTAAGTCAATCGGGCAGTTCGTAGAACTTTCTTTAAACATCTTTTAACTGACCGAACTAAACGTTCATAAAAGCCTCCCCACCATGGGGAACGTGCAACAATATGTACCCACTTGATTCTTTTCGATGTACAAAATTCTTTCAATTCCTTCGACTTAAATGTCTTGCCATTGTCCGAAATCATTGTTCCTGGTATTCCTCTGCGACTCATAAACCTCTTGAAACTACGTATAAATGTTTCACTAGTTGCATCAACGGCGAGATCTAAATGAACTGCGCGACTCGACGCACATGTGTAGAGTACAATGTACGCTTTATACATTTTACTGTCCTTAGAATATATGTTCTTCACGAATAATGGGCCAGCATAGTCAACTCCTACTCTTGAAAAGGCAACGTCGTTATCTAAACGGTATTCTGGCAAGGGAGGTGCTGGCGGCACTCCGTAAGATTTGCCCTCCAATCGTTTACATGTTAAACATCGAGCGATAATCTTCTTCACTACTTGTCGCCCTCTTACGATCCAATATCTCGATCTAACTTGAGTTACAGTTTCCCGAACGCCATTATGCATAACTTCAGTGTGACAATGCAGAACTACGAGATTAGTAAAATCATGATCGCTGGGTAATAACATAGGAAACTTCGTTTCGTTGGGTAGATTTGACTTTTCGATTCGACCATGACAACGGATAAGTTGCTCATCGTCCACAAATAAGCTTAAAGATCGTTTCATTTTATTATATTTTGGCAGCTTTGTTAAGGAAGCTTGCACATGCTTAATCCAGGATTTCTCGGCCACCTCTAGTTCTTCAGCAGTTAGAAGACCCTTCAAAATTTCCTCACCTTTCAAACTTCGTTTTACATTGTCAACGAATCTCTGCACATAGGCTGTTACACGAAGTAAAGTTTCTAACTTACTATACTTCGAAGGCTTTAGCAAGTTCTCTATACTGTGCTCTGGTTGTACATCAGTATCAACGACCGCCGCCATCACAGTCTGTTTGGATGTCTTCAACTCTTGCCACGTATTCTTGCTTTCTTCCCCGTGCGACGGCTGTACAGGCCACGAATCCTTGGGATTTAGTAAAAAGGTAGGACCATACCACCACTTATCATCCGCCGCGAGCTTCGATACTGATTCTCCCCTTGAGGCAATATCTGCTGGATTGTCTTTTGTTGGGCAATATCTCCAATCCTTTGGATCTGTCAATCTTCGAATTTCCTGAACTCTATTTTCTACAAACTGTTTGTACTCTTTACACACACTCCTTATCCAGCTTAGTGCAACCGTTGAATCGGACCAGAAGAAAATAGCATGGATCTTTAAGACGTCTTGTAATGCCTTACGAATGTTATCAACTAATCGTGCCGAGATTAAACATCCAAGCAATTCAAGACGTGGTATCGACTGTTCACTCATGGGTGCTACTCTTGTTTTAGAGGCGACTAAATTGCATTTAACTCCTGCTTCATGCTCGTATAAGATATACACGCAAGCACCATACGACGACTCGCTTGCATCGGAAAATGCATGCAACTCGATTAACCCTGTTCGTGTTTCTTGAAAGTAACAGCGTGGAATAGAAATCACTTTGGCGTTCCTCAAGTTGGAGAATATTGTTTCCCATACTTTACAAAACTGTTCGCTCAATTGTTCATCCCACTCAACGTTACTCTTGCACAATTCTTGGAACAACAGCTTTAATTGAAGAATAACAGGTGATATCAGCCCCAGGGGGTCATAAAACTTTGCTGTAATGCTCAACACAATTCGCTTTGTACAACTCTTTGGATCATAACCAGCTACAACATTGGCTAAATTAATTTCAAACTCGTCATTCAGGACATTCCACGTTTGACCAAGGACTTTACTGTTCACATCATTCTGGCCACCAAGAGCTGATTTTGTGTAACCACAATCTTCTTCGTTCATAGTTGGTAAAGGATCTGCAGTAGGACTAGGAATATCTTCAGCGAAATCGGGATCTACTTGGAACACTTGCTTGAGTTCTGGTGAATTAGTCTGCCATTTACGCATGTTGAAACCTCCTGTCGAAAGTCGATATTTAATCTTTCTTGCTAGGTCTAACGCTCTAGGTATACTCTCGCAACCAGATGCATAGTCATCGACGTAGAGGGATCGCAAAAGCTCGTAGACAAACTCTGGATCATTCAGCAGATATTGATTAACTTGATGACGAATGGTAGCGTTTAAAATGAACGGACTTGACGTAACTCCAAACACAACTCTGGCGAATCTGAGGTGTATAACGCTTGGGCTGCTGCTGTAGGGGTCATTTAACCATAAAAATCTAAGAAAGTCACGATGTTCCTCCGCGACTGCAACGTTCAAAAAAGCTTTCTCTATATCAGCTGTCATGGCAACCGAGTGGACACGGAAACGCAGCAAGATGTCGAAAATCAGTGGGGTTAGAGAAGGTCCAGTATACAAACATTCATTTAAACTAGGTCCTGTTGTCTTAGCTGACGCGTCGTAAACCACTCTAACTTTCGTAGTGTCTTTGTCAGCTCTCACAACTTCTCTGTGGGGTAGGTAGTGTACATTTCCAGCCTTTGGGATAACTTGTGGGTCAACAGGTTCTACAATTCCCTTCTGGACTTGGTCTTGAATTATCTTATCATATTCAGTAAGAAGAGCAGGTTGATCTTGGAGTCGATGAACTAATCTTCCTAATCTTTTTACACTAACAGCATGGTTATCAGGGATGGTGGGATGGTGCTCTTTAAAGGGTAATTTTGCTTCATACCTCTCCCCATTAAATCTAACGTCTTCAACAAACTTGTCATAGACAGAGCTTTCGTCATCCCGAATGCCTATAGACTCTAACTCCCAAAACTTTTTAAGTTGCTCAGTCATGTTCGGGTTTTGGTTATCCTGAACTGGGGTAGCATCAATCTGTAATACATGAGTTGCAGCGAAGTTGGTTGTGGAACTAGATTCTTCACTAAGGTTATCAATGGGGCCAGACAAAACCCACCCTAGCCTAGTTGACAGGGCAACAGGTCCACGTCCTTCACCTCTTTTTGACTCATTAGACACAAAGTTCCAATAGAAGTCAGCTCCAATTAGAATGTCAATGTCGACTGCTACTTCTACTGCTTAATTGGTTCGAAATTGGACTACATATTACAGGGACACTAAAGGCATTGACATACAATTCCAAGCCATTAGTGCCTGTAATAGAGACTTGGACTAGATCACACAACATCAATTTTGGGGAGTCATTGCCAAATGTTTTAACCAAAAGGGATTGTTTATTAACAGCTTGGACACCCAATGAATTCTTCAGCCGATTTGATATATAAGATCTCTGACTGCAGGAATCGAAAACAATTTTCGATTGCAATTTCTGCTGTTGGGGGACATTAGGGTTTCCCACCATAGCCTTTGCAGTTTGCAAAAGCACCGAGACATTGCTGTTTGCACAAACATTAGTTGATGCTTCATTTCCCTTGGCCTGAAAGGGTGGTTGTTGATTTTGATTCTGGTTGGGTTTGGTAGGGTCCTCCCTTGGTTTTATACCTTCACAGAGAGAAATGTGATGGTTATTTCCACATTTCGGGCATTTAAACTTGGAAGGACAATGTCTGACTATATGATCAGACTTCAGACATGCAAAACACCGTCCCTTTTTTCGGAGAATAGCTCTACGTGCTGAAATATCTGTAATTATATTACACCGTGATGATAAATGTTGTTCCCCACAGTACGCACATTTCTGAATTGAACGATTGTCACTTCCCGTGAAAAGTGCTGATGATGTACTAGGCTCATATGTTCTCCTGGTACCGTCCTTTTTCTCTGTAGTGCTTTGTAACAACAAGCACCTTTCTCGAGCCTCTAACTCAATTTCCAATCATCCTTGCCAACTTTCCGACTTATCAACAACTGCATTTCCTCTGGAAGTTTAGCAAGAATCATTGGAATCAGAAGAGTCCCATATGTTTCACTTTCTATGTTCAAATTCGCTAGACTACGAATATGCGTTTCAATACTGTCATACAGCTTTCGAATCTTGACAATTTCATGTATATTAGAAACAGGTTCCAACTTCAATAGGGCTTCAACATGACTGGAAACTATAATTTGTGGATTTGCAAATCTCTCTTCCAAAAGTTTAAAAGCAGTCTCATAGTTTTCATCAGTTAACGAAAACCCTGCGATTGCTGCAGCTGCCGGACCCTCCACCAGACTTTTCAAGTAGTTGAATTTGTCAACTTTAGATAAACTGTCATTAGTGTGAACAGCAGCTTTATAGCTATCGTTAAATGATTGCCAATCAGTAGGATTTCCAGCAAATTTCTTCAAGGACAGTTTTGGTAATTTTGCTCTGGCTGATGAGGGGTACATTGGCTGACTTACGCTAGGCATGGTTGTACCCAGTCCCCCTGGCGAGGACACATTGCTCGCTTCAACTGTCTTCAAAACATTGTCAATTTTAACAAGCATTTTATTGATCGACTCACCCACTTCGCCAGCCTGAAATATATCTTCCATAATCTTCTCTTCATCTTCAATTTCATTCAGAATAGCTTCATCAAGCTTTCTTATGGATTCTTTCTTATCGATTAACGTGATTTTACAACCCTCTAACGCATCTTTCTCCGCCTGAGTTCCACCAAACTTGTCAATGGCGTCATTTGCCGTCTGAATAACTTTCGTTACGAAAGCTCGATTTCCTCGTCGAATTGCTCTTTTACTCTTTTCAGTAGACATATCCGGCTCGAAGGACCATGTAATAAATTGAACTATACTCGAATAATTGAACTCAACTCGTTTTTAAATCAAAATTAAACTTTTAAAAATTATATATCACTTCTTAACTCGCTCTACTCAGAACTTCCACTCAAAACATTAATATTCCATGTGCTCGCAGAATTGCGTGACACACGCGTGGTGTCCACGTAATAATTACGTCATTAATTATAACACATGGAAAAGTCATATTGATTACATAACTAAGAAATTATTAAAAGTATCTAACATTCTTTGTAAAGTTCGTCACTACCTAAATATAAAACATCTCATAACTCTATATCATACTCTTGTTTACCCACATTTATATTACGGTAATATACTATGGGCTAGCAACTATAAAACAAGATTAAAGTCAGTATCAACGATACAGAAAAAGATTCTGAAAATAATATCATTTTTGCCTTATACTTTCTCATCTTCAACCCTTTTTTCAACGTTGGTCTGTTCACATTCAACGGAGTAAAAAATACACTACCACCTCAATTTGATTCACTTTGCATAAAAAACAATGTTATTCATTGCCATAATACCAGAGGCTCTATAAAATTACACAAATTAAACACTACAATAAAACAAACTATGGATTGTATTCCACAAAAAACAGATGCACAGTAGTGTGGAATATGTTGCCGGAATACATTAAAAATAGCGATAGTAAATACATATTTAAGTGCAATCTAAAATTATATCTTCTTTCTTCTGAAGATTATTAGTTGTACTCACAAAAAATGTAAATAAAAATAATTTATAACTTTATAAAGTTAATTTGTATTGGTGGACCTCATATATCTTGAACCTGACATTATCTGACACTATTCTCCTTTGTTATATTAGTTTGTTTTTTAAATTTTTTAGGGTGGACTACTAGAAAAGCCCTGACGGGCTTGTTAGTCTTCCTTCCATATGAATTGTATCTTTATATTTTATCAAAACTGTAACTGTATAATGGAAAAATAAAATATCTATCTATCTAAAATATCTATTGATACCAGTGGAGTGTTATAGATAGCTATGGAGTGTTATGGATACCAGTGGAATCTTGTAGATAGCTATGGACTGTTATGGATACCAGTGGAGTGTTATACCTTTCTAAAGTTTTCCATTATGTCTGCCAGGAGGAGGACGTCTGTCTTAAGGTAAAGGTCGTGGTAGTCTCTCATGGTTTTCATACCGAAGGTGTTCCACACATTTTGTGCTCTCTTGTAGTCGGTGTCGCTGATGTCTTCGTCGGTAAGACTGCTAAAGAATTCGCTCTTGGATGGTAGGGATGTTTCTTCCAGTCTGTCGAACCCGTTTATATATTCGTAGGGGTATACACCTTTCTGCTTAAGGATTTCCCGTTGCTCCTTGGTGTAGTGTGATGTCATTAGGTTCAGGTTTTCGAAGTCGTCCCTACCTAGACCCTTAGAAAGTTTATCCAGGGAGCTTGCCATGAATTTGAAGGAGTCCAGAAATCTTAATTTCCTTTTGACCTTCTTTTCCTTACCATCCTTGTTTTTGAATGTATCGACCACTACCTCCTTGGTAAAGGATATGTACTTTTCTTCCGTCTTGGGAATGCATCCGATGTCTCTACTGCTCACGCCGAGGTTCCTGATAAATAAATGGGCATCATATCCTTCGAGGTTATGGAAGAGGACTGTTATGAATTTCGACTGCCTCATCCTGAGGTTACACGAGTTGTGTGCTGCACCTCCATTCTCTCCTGTGTAGTGGCAGTGGTCGCTGACCTTGTAGTCCTCTTCCGTAAATTCCCCTCCGCATGCATAGCATTGTGTGGACATACAGTAGTCTTCGATGCCTTCAGGAGTCATATTATTAGAGGCCGGCGTTTTGAATCTTTCGTGGATATCCAGGGTTTCCTCCTCGAGAAGGTCCACAAATTTTTTGGTTATGTCTTCTCCTTCGTATTGTTGGGTATAGTGTACCAGCTTGGGTTTGTAGATGGAGTTGTCGAAGCACTTAATGTAGTAACCAAATCCACTAGGGTTGTGTTTCTGGTATAGTGTAGTACTCGACCTGTCTGGACTTTTCTCTTCTGCATCTAATCTGTTGATGTAACATTCAAAGTCTGCATATATGACGATCGGAAATTCCTGTATCTTTTCGTAGTTTTCAATTTTCGTGGTGCTTCCGGGTTTTGGATACTCGTGTCTTTGGTAGTCGTTGTTCGAACATAGTTCCAGATGCTTTTCCAGGAGTTCGTCCGATCCGAATGCGTTAACGCATCGATCACATATGTGTTTTCTGTGTGCGTTGTTGCTGATCTGTGAGCCTACGAGTCTGGACATGTCCTTGACGACGCTGTAGTGGTTTTTCCATAGGAAGAGTCCTATGGGGTCGGACTTTCCTGATACTCGTAAGGGGTAGACCTTGTTGTTTTCGTTGACACTGAACACGTTGATGCCGACGTCGTTGTTTTTCTCGAATCTTTTAATACCGTCTATCGGTGTTGGGAATTCAATCACTTCCCAGTCTAACTCTTCGGATTGCCTCTTGAGCTCTTTTGTGATTCTTTCCGGATGGATGTCGGTAGGGTTTAAGGCACGTGTTACAGCCCAATTGAAACATTCGTTGTCGTCGTTCTTCATGTTGATAATTGCTTTCTTGCTGGCTATGGATTTGGGTAGTGGTTCGTGTTTCATACCCCTAAGTGGTTGGAACTCACCGATGTGGATTTCCAGCCGGGTAACCCTTCGTAGTCTACATCCACTGCCCCTCCTCTGATATTCCGAAAAGGACTTTAGCATCTTTTCCCTCATGATGCTCTGGGTTTCTTCCGTATCGTCCGTACCGATAAGTTTGTGGTTCTTCGATCCGAAGTGAGCGATGGTTGACACTTTTTCCCCAGTTTTCGGATCGCTCCTTACCATTTCACAGGCCAGGGACATCCTTACGTTCCTGGGTTCCGTTTCGGAGTTTATGAGTGTTTTAACCTCGTCTTCCGTAATGGTTAGGAAGTAGGATGGGTCGTAGTTGCCGTTTGGGGTGATGACGTACTTTTTTACCTTTTTCTTAATGGCGTGTTTGGTCAGGATGGGTTTCAGGATTTCCCTCGGCTTTTCCCAAATTTTACTAAGCTTGTCACCCACCTTCAGTTGGAGTTTGGCAAATTTTTTCTTACCCCTCCACTTACCCTCTGCGATTCTCCGGTTTTCCTCAGCCCGTCTTTCTCGGGCCCTTGCGTTCCGTCGCAGGCGTTGTGTTTCTTTCTTCCACTTTTGAGCCTCAGCTTTCCAGTCCGTAACTTCCTTCCCTTGT